AGATAAAGTTATCTGTTTTCATACGTGAGTTTTACCATATGAATTCTATAGTTTGACAACTCAATTTTTAAATCTCTAAAGAGGTTTGTAGAATTAAAGTTTGAGTATAACTCACAATATATAATTTAAGGTCAAATCGTTGCTTATATAATAGACTTTGTTGGCAATTAATTATCTTCAAGGAATAATTATGCACGCTTATTATGCATATTAGTGACAACCTAATTGTGGTAGTGTATGAAAATTTTAAAAATCTCAAAGAAAAGATTTGATAAAGTTCTAAGAATTTTTGAATTTGTGTATCTCTGTTATTTAAGATACCGATGGAACTTCATATGATTCTCTTTAACTATTAAAGTAAAGGAATCAATTAGTATTGAAAGTCTTCTAAAAAGTTTTAAGATTCTCTTAATTTATATATGAAAGAATTACTATTATTAAAAATTATAAAAGATATGGTTGAGAGAAATTTTGGAACCCTATATATATAGATGAAAGTCCTAATAATGTTTTATAATTAATATAAATATCAAGAGTTTATTTATTAGATTTAATGACTTTTGTCAATAAAGATTTTTGGGATAATAAGAAATTATTCCAATGGAAGATTGGTTAATCTTTCAATAAAGATTTTGGAATGTTACATTATTTATAGATAACTATCCCAATGGGAGCTTGTGAGTTGATGTGAGTGGTGCTATCAAAGTAGACCATTTATTGAGATTTACATGTTTCCCAAAGGATTTTGGAATGTTATATTAGGTAAGTGTTCCAATGGGAGCATGTGAATTGACGTGGGGGTTAGTGCCAAAGTAGGCCATCTATTTAATTCATAGATTTCTTAATAAAGATTCTAGAATGTTTGCTTCTTGAAATTAGTGTATGATTACCTACCCAAAGGAGGTGATTGTATATATTAACTGAAAGAAGTGTGAGTAGCTAGTAAGGGTTATTGTTTTGGTTTTATAGAGAATTTTCTACCCAAAGGAGATTATTTTTTATAAGACCATTCTTATTAATTCACTTATAATAAAACTAAATTACTATGTCATTAAAACTAGTTGATCTATTTGGAAGATTGAATATGAACTATTAAGTTTAAGGAATAAAGTTGCTACTTTCATATTAGTGTATGTAATATTTTGCCTAAAGGTGATTATTGTATGCATTAACATGAAGTAGTGGGAGCAATTATTAAGGATTATAAGTATTTATTCATATTTACTAAAAGATGGTTCACTTACTAATTGACTTGTTAAGGTTTAATTTTATGCACTTATTTAGCCAACATAAAGTGCAAATAAAGTAAGGTATAATTGTGTCTTGAACTCTTATAAATTAAATAGAATCATGCTATAAAGAGAAAGTTAGAGACTAAGCAACAGTCAAAAGACACAAAAGAAGAAGGAATTCTCACCAAAGTTAAAGATTTAAAAGAGAGTTAACAAGCTTCAGTTGAAGCAAAGAAAAGGAGTGATGATGAAGTCGAAAAAGGAGACTTTTACAAAAGGATTGAGTCAAACGACTCTGAACTAATTGTTGAACAAAATAAATACATGAAGCTTCTTGATGGTCACAATAGGTTGAAATTACAATATAACTACCTCCTTAGTAAGAAAGACATTACTTTACCAACAACCTGTTAGTCCAAGTGGAAGGAGCTTGATTCCTCTTAAGTAAGTACTCGAGTTCGAGTCTTGTGAATGGAGAAACAGACACTAGGAGAGCCTCCCCCCTTATAGGGTATGACGCGGGTCAATTCCGGATTAGTCAGGACCCAATGTGGTTACTGGATACCGGGAGGTCAGTACTAAAAAAATAAAAAAAGAAAGACTTTACTTTAGAGTAAATGACGACACCAGATAAATTAAAGTGTGAAGGGCATCATCACAATTAAAATCCTCCATTAAGTTTATGTTACTTAACCTTTTATTTAGAGATTGGCTCTCAATTTTATAGCTCTATGTTAATGCAAAAGTTGATTATCCACTAACATAATTATTTTAGAGACATTTAAGGAGTATAAAATAATGTGTCTTAAAGGTTAGTGAGAGTTAAATAATTTATTACTTGATATATAATGATAAGATTATTGATAAGAAAAACAAAAATTGCTTGGTTGCAATGGTGAAATTCCTAGACACATGTGTTATGAATTATATAGAAAATAATTTTTGTAAAAGATGTAATTACCTTTACTAAAGTTGATAAAGTCTTGTCACTCTTGTACTTTTGTGTTTGATCAAAGTTTAAAGATCATGTTATTTTTAGTAATGGATAATGGAGGATTATTTCCATTAGAATATTTTATCCTTGATGATGTTAGTTATCTATAGGATGACTTGTTTATAGAATTTGATGGAAAAGACACATCAAAGTTAATTGTTGATTTATCTTATAAAGTAAGAGTGACATAAAGGTGAAATTATGAATAATGATTATAATCATGCATTATTGTAACTAGATTAACTAATTTACTGATCAAGAAATTATAATTTTGTTAGTTATTTATGAGAATTATTTTAGACATGTATTCTTGATCAGTGGTAGAAGCTGATTTCTCTATCACTAATACTTTTTATTTTGTTTGTTGAATCACTTATTATTTTATAATAATGCAATGCATTGTACTAATGGCTTTTTATGAGCTCATACAAATATTGATACTAAGATCTCAATGTATAAATGAAAAAGGCTTCTTCAGAAGTGTATGAGCTTCTTTTAAAGTGTAAAGGCTTTTTTAGAAAAATGAGAGAGATTATCTCCTTGGGTTTTATGAAGCCAGAATAAAGTTTAGAAGCTTCCTTAGGGAAGTGTAAAAGAGATTACATCCTTAGAAAAGGGTTTCTTTGAAACTATAAAGAGGACCATTTTAAAGAGGATCATTGTGGTTTTGAGATGTTATATCTTATATGGATCACATTGCGCCAAACCATACCACACTTTATCACACCTATTAGAATTAATGTTGGTGGACATATTTGATAATTGTGATTATGAGGGGTCTTGTGTTATTAGTGACATAATGATCGCACAATTCAATATTGATATTTTCATTGAATGGAATTTTGTGTTAAGATTTTGATTTATATTTGTGACTACTAAAGTTGTGTTTGACACAAGAGTCTTTTTTTTTTTAATAT